TGAGACGGAGTTTCGCTCTTGTTACCCAGGCTGGAGTGCAATGGCGCCACCTTGGCTCACCGCAACCTCCGCCTCCTGGGTTCAGGCAATTCTCCTGCCTCAGCCTCCTGAGTACCTGGGATTACAGGCACACACCACCATGCCCAGCTAATTTTTTGTATTTTTAGTAGAGACGGGGTTTCACCATGTTGACCAGGATGGTCTCGATCTCTTGACCTCGTGATCCACCCGCCTCGGCCTCCCAAAGTGCTGGGATTACAGGCTTGAGCCACCGCGCCCGGCCCGATGTGATCTCTTAAATTTATTGCGGGGTAGATTATGATTTGTACTAGGATGAGTAGCTTCCGAAACAAGCTCCAGTATGAGTGTGCTTACTGGTAGAAGTCTAAGGCCTGTAACTCCCGGAATAGAATGCGCCCACTCTCACAATGCCAGGTGCTGTGGTTCTTATTCCTACAACCTTACCATATGCCTATAGGCTTATTAGAGGAAGCAGGGGACTGTGGGTAGGTTTTAAGATAACTAACTTTGTACCACTTAGTAAGGCCAAGGCCTCCGGCCTGTTCTCCAGCCGGCCACTGGGAGCGAAAGACAGGTCATAAAGTTGGAGGCATCATGCAGGTGAGATACTTGGATGCTATATGTTACTGGCGCCTTGGGTCCTAGCTTAGGCTTCTGCCTATCACTGTTATGCTCAGGTTGCTGGGGATATAACTGTAAAATCCTATCATCAGATTCATTCACAGTTGACTCCCTGACTCATTTCTGTTAGCTGCTCAGACTTTGGTATCTGGCCTTGGATGGCAAGGAAGCATATACTGATATGGGAAAAGTACAGACTCCCTTGGAGAGAGAGTGTATGTTCGAATGGTGTGTGTTGTATGTGTGATATGGGGAAGAAACCTTTGCACAGCCTCGAAGATTCCAAATAATGCTTGTTTTCAGGGGAAATCAAATAATAACTTAATTTTGGGATGGGAATTCTGTTGTATGCAGTAGAATGGCTTGGCAGATAAAAGCTTATAGTTTTGTTCATTCTTTACTTGATTGGTTTTCCTAATTTTTGATGTTTTCCTTCTCTGATTCTGCTTAATAGCCATGATTTGTATAAACTCAAGCTTTTTATACTGTTCACATCTGTATTGCCCACACTTGACAATGTCCTTCAGAACTACCTTCCTTTATCTCTTTTTATGTCTCCAGATACAGGAAAACGTCACAAATATCTAGTCAACAATTTTATTTTAAAGGAGGTATTTCAAAATACAAAAGTTATCAAAAAGCTGAATATTTACAATTATGTCATAGGTTACTATTAACAGTGCAGAGGACACAGTATGCAAGACTTTGAAGAGGAAATATACAAAGTACAATAAACAGCAAGGTTACACGTCATTGTTTTGCCACTGTACAGAAGCGGAAAGTTCCAACTTGGAGAGGTCACCATTGTTTCAATTCTTTGTATCCAGAAAGGACCATCTCTTAAATCCACCAGGGGAGGAAATAGCCTTCTTGGGAAAATGCTGTCTTCTCAGGAGCATTGTATCTAGAAAGGGCAAACAAAACACATGCCTCCAGAGGGTTTCAAGTAATGCCTGGCATTTAGTAATAAAGCCAAACATACTAAAAAGGATTTTTTTTTTTTTTTTTTTTGCCCGTTTCTGGAATGTGCAACAGGAAACATTATATTCAAGTTAGAAATCTCCGGTCTGTAATCAGCATCAAGTTTCAGTACTAGCCTGGCCAGCTGACTAAAATTGTGTGGGTAAGCTCTTGAGCCTTTGTTATGTATGAGAAAAGGATGCTGATAACAGTCACTTCACTGGGAAGAATGAATGCAAAGTGCTCAGCAATTTAGAGAAAATTTTCCTTAAATTGAACAGTTATATTTGTCTAAAAGCCAGTGAACAACAGTTTCAACCAGTAATTCACTGCATAAGGATTCTTATTGTGACTTTTTTTTTTTTTTTTGGAAGATAGGGTCTTGTTAACATTGCGCAGGCTGGTGCACCACATGGCAATTCATAGGCATGATCATGGTGTCTGAGAGCCCTGAACTCCTGGGCTCAAGTGACCTTCATGCCTCAGCTTCCTGAATAGCTGGGACTATAGGCAGAGGCTCTGCACCAGGCCATAATGACGTTTTTGAAGTATAGTACATAATCACAAGTCAGTGAAGACATATCTGCAAGGAGCTATGACGTACCATGGTCTGGTTACTTGACGTTTTCTATGAAGCATTATTTAATGCCATCATAGTGTTTGTAGAGATTCTGTGGATGTTTTTTAAAAATCCAAGATTTCAATTGTAATTTAATCTTCCCATAGATAATAGTTATAAACTTGGGACAAAATCTGAAATAATTTTTTTTAGAAGGCTAGGAATGGTGGCTCATACCTGTAATCCCAACACTGTGCGAGGGCTGAGGTAGGAGGATTGCTTGAGTCCAGGAGTTAAAGACCAGCTTGGGCAAAATAGCGAGACCCCCCATCTCTACAAAATAAAAATTAAAAAAAGTTGGGCATGGTGGCACATGCCTGTAGTCCTAGCTTCTTGGAAGGTTGAGGCATTTCATCCCATGAGTTTGAGGCTGCAGTGAATGATGATCGTGGCACTGCACCCTGGCCCCGGCAAGAGACTGAAACCCCATCCCCCCCAAAAAAAAAGTAGAAGAAAGGTCAATGAACTAGACTATAGATCAAAATTAATTATCCAATATGAACAGAGGAAAAAGAGGAAAGAACTTTAGTGACCTATGGAAATCAAGTGCTCAAATAGATGTAACTGGAGTTCCAAATGAGAAGATAAATCATGGCTCAAAATGTCCCAATTGAGGGAAAAATACAAACATACAGATTCAAGAACTCTAGAAAATTCCAAGGTAAAAAAAAATTAAAAACCACATCCAGGATCCAAGATGGCTCAATAGATACAACTCCAGTGCACAACAGTCAGTGAGAGAGACGCAGAAATCCAGAGATCTCCTAGCTCCAACCAACGTACCAGGTGCATTTCAACGGGTCTGGTCAGACAGTGAGCAAAGCCCACTTGGCAGACTGAGGTGGGGAGGGGTGCTGCTTCAGCCAGAAAGTGCATCTGACCGGCTTGTTGGAGGCTCCCCCTCTGGAACTCCAGTCCAGATACAGCGCTTCCCCCAAAGCCTCAGCAATACACAGAACAGGGGATCTTTGCCAGTCAAGTGCTGGGAATTACAAGCTCAGGATTGAGTAATCGGGACGGTGTCCCAGATTGGCATACAGATCTAAAAAGACGCATAAGCCCAAAAGGCGGCCAGGAGAACCTGCAGGCTGAGCTATTGCCCCCTCCCCCTGGAGAGAGAGGGAGCTATAAGTGGTAGCAGCTGGGCGGGCCCCTATCCCATGACTGGATAGAGAGGAAGCTGAAAGTGGGAGACAGCTGGGTGCTGCTGGGCGGGTCCCTACCCTCCCCCACAAACCCCAGAGGGCTGAAGCTCTGACTCTAGCGGGTTGCGCAGCCAGTGCCACAGTCTGAGCTGAACCCTGAATGAAGCCAGCCCAGTGGAGGAAGGGCACAACCCACCATTAGAGGGGTGGGACTAGACTACATGTTTTAACAAAAAACAGGAAGCCTATGTAGCAACGGGACGGCATTCTTGACAACCCAGTAGCGCCTACAGGTCAGTGGAAGAGGCTGGCCTAATCTCCCAGTATAAACAAAAAAGACAGAGGAAGCTTCCCTAGTAACCTGAAGGAGTCCCTAGAAAACCAGTAGCGCCTCCACAGGCAGACTAGGGACCTCATCAAGTGGCTCCCTGACAACACAGCCAGGTAAACCCACAAAGATGGGATAAAACCAGCGCAAAAAAGATGAAACCATTAAAGACCAGAACACCTCTTCTTCAAGGGATCACAACTCCTCAATAACACAGGATCACATCATGACTGAGAAGGAGTGCGACGAATTGACAGAAACAGGCTTCAGAAGGTGGATTATAACAAATTCTTCTGAGCTAAAGGAACGCGTTCTGACTCAATGCAAAGAAACTAAAAACCTTGAAAAAAGATTAGACGAAATGCTAACTAGAATAACCAGCTTAGAGAAGAACATAAACGACTTGATGGAGTTGAAAACACAGCACTAGAACTACATGAAGCAAACACAAGTTTTAATAGCCGAATTGATCAAGCAAAATAAGAATAAAGAGAGAAGGCAAGACAAGAGAAAAAAGAGTGAAAAGAAATGAACAAAGCCTCCAAGAAATGTGGGATTATGTGAAAAGACCTAACCTACGCTTGATCGGTGTACCTGAATCTGATGGGGAGAATGAATCCAAGCTGGAAAACATGCTCCATGATACTATCCATGAGAATGTCCCAAGCCTAGCAAGGCAGTCCAAATTTCAAATTCAAGAAATACAGAGAACTCCACAAAGATATTCCTCAAGAAGAGCAACCCCAAGGCACATAATTGTCAGATTCACCAGGGTTGAAATGAAGGAAAAAATGCTAAGGGCAGCCAGAGAGAAAGGTCAGGTCACCCACAAAGGGAAGCCCATCAGACTCACAGCAGATCTCTTGGCAGAAACCCTGCAAGACAGAAGAGAGTGGGGGCCAATATTCAACATCCTTAAAGAAAAGAACTTTCAACCCAGAATCTCATACCCAGCCAAACTAAGCTTCGTAAGTGAAGGAGAAATAAAATCCTTTACGGACAAGCAACTGCTGAGAGATTCTGTCACCACCTGACCTGCCCTACAAGAGCTCCTGAAAGAAACACTAAGCACAGAAAGAAATAAGTACCAGTCACTGCAAAAGCAAACCAGTGGGCAAAGACCAAAAATGCAATGAAGAAAATGAGTCAACTAATGGGAAGGAAAACCAGCCAGTAACAAAATAGCAAGATCAAATTCACACATAACAATAGTAACATTGAATGTAAGCGGCCTAAACCCCCCAATCAAAAGACACAGACTGACAAACTGGATAAAAAGTCAGAACCCATCAGTGTGCTGTATTCCAGAAACCCATCTCACAAACAAAGACACATATAGACTCAAAGGGATGGAAGAAGATTTACCAAACAAATGGAGAACAACAAAAAAAGCAGGGGTTGCAATGCTAGTCTCTGATAAAATGGAATTCAAACCAACAAAGATCAAAAGAGACAAAGAAGGACACTACATAATGGTAAAAGGATCAATTCAAGAAGAGCCAACTATCCTAAATATATATGCACCCAACACAGGAGCACCCAGATACATAAAGCAAGTTCTTAACGACCTAAAACGAGATTTAGACTCCCACACAATAATAGTGGGAGACTTCAACACTCCATTGTCAATATTAGATCAACGAGACAGAAAATTAACAGATATCCAGGACTTGAATGCAGAGCTGGACCAAGTAGATCTAATAGACATATACAGAACACTCCACTCCAAATCCACAGAATATACATTTTTCTAGCATCACATTGCACTTACTCTAAAATTGACCACATCATCGGAAGCAAATCACTCCTCAGCAAATGCAAAAAAACGGAAACTATAACAGTCTATCAGACCACAGCACAATCAGACTAGAACTCAGGATTAAGAAACACACTCAAACCCGCACAACCACTTAGAAACTGAACAACTTGCTTTTGAGTGTCGACTGCATAAACAATGAAATGAAGACAGCAATAAAGATGTTTGTTGAAAACAATCAGAATGAAGACACAACTTACCAGAATCTCTGGGACACCTTTAAAGCAGTGTCGAGAGGGAAATTTATAGCAATAAATGCCCACATGATAAACAAGGAAAGATCTAAAATTGACACCCTATCATCAAAATTGAAAGAGCTAGAGGAGGAAGATTAAAAAAACTCAAAAGCTAGCAGAAGACAAGAAATAACTAAGATCAGAGTGGATCTGAAGGAGATAGAGACACAAAAAAAAACCCTTCAAAAAATCAATAAATCCAGGAGCTGGTTTTTTGAAAAGATGAACAAAATAGACCGCTAGCCAGATTAATAAAAAAGAAAAAGGAGAAGAATCAAATAGATGCAATAAAAAACGATAAAGGGGATATCACCACTGATCCCACAGAAATACAAACTACCATCAGAGATTACTACAATCAGCTCTATGCACATAAACCAGTAAACCAGGAAGAAATGGATAAATGCCTAGACACTTGTACTCTACCAAGACTAAACTAGGAGGAAGTTGAAACCCTGAATAGACCAATAACAAGGGCTGAAGTGGAGGCAGCAATCAATAGCCTACCAACCAAAAAAAGCTGAGGTACAGACGGGTTCACAGCTGAATTCTATGAGACATACAAAGAGGAGCTGGTTCCATTCCTTCTGAAACTGTATCAAACAATACAAAAGGAGGGAATCCTCCCGAACTCATTTTATGATACCAACATCATCCTGATACCAAAAACCAGGCAGAGACTCAACTAAAAAAGAAATCTTAAGTCCAATATCCATGATGAACATCGATGCAAAAATCTTCAACAAAATACTGGCAAACAGATTGCAACAGCACATCAAGAAGCTTATCCATCACCATCAGGTAGGCTTCATCCTGGGGATGCAAGGCCGGTTAAACATATGCAAATCTATAAATGTAATCCATCACATAAATGGAACCAAAGACAAAAACTACATGATTATCTCAATACATGTAGAGAAGGCCTTCAACAAAATTCAACAACCCTTCATGCTAAAAACTCTCAATAAACTAGTTATTGACAGAATGTATCATAAAATGATAAACACTATATATGACAAACTTACAGCCAATATCATACTGAATGGGCAAAAGCTGGAAGAATTCCCTTTGAAATCAGGCACTAGACAAGGATGTCCGCTCTCACCACTCCTATTCAATATAGTATTGGAAGTTCTGGCCAGAGCAATCAGGTAAGAAGAAAAAATTAAAGTGTATTCAATTAGGAAAGGAGGAAGTCAAACTGTCTTTATTTGCAGATGACATGATTGTATATCTAGAAGACCCTATCGTCTCAGCCCAAAATCTTCTCAAACTGATAAGCAACTTCAGCAAAGTCTCAGGATACAAAATCAATGTGTAAAAATCACAAGCATTCCTATACACCCATAATAGACGAACAGAGAGCCAAAGCAAGAGTGAACTACCATTCACAATTGCTACAAAAAGAATAAAATACCTAGGAATACAACTAAAGGATGTAAAGGACCTCTTCAAGAACTACAAACCATTGCTCAATGAAATAAGAGAGGACACAAACAGATGGAAGAACATTCCATGCTCATGGTTAGGAAGAATTAATATCGTGAAAATAGCCATACTGCCCACAGTAATCTATAGATTCAATGCTATCCCCAACAAGCTACCAATGACCTTCTTCATAGAACTGGAAAAAAACCACTTTAAACTTCATATGGAATCACAAGAGAGCCCACATACCCAAGACAGTCCTAAGCAAAAAGAACAAAGCTGGAGGCATCACACTGCTGGACTTCAAACTATACTACAAGGCTACAGTAATCAAAACGACATGGTGCTGGTACCAAAACAGAGACATAGACCAATGGAACAGAACAGAGGCTCCAGAAGACACACTATACATCTACAACCATCTGATCTTTGACAAACCTGGCAAAAACAAGCAATGGGGAAAGGACTCCATGTTTAATAAATGATGTTGGGAAAACTGGCTAGCAATGTGCAGAAAGCAGAAACTGGACCCTTACCTGTGACCTTACACTAAAATTAACTCCAGATAGATTAAAGATTTAAACATAAAACCTAACACCATAAAAACCCTAGAAGAAAACGTAGGCAAAACCAACCAGGACATAGGCATAGGCAAGGACTTCATGACTAAAACACCAGAAGCAATGGCAGTAAAAGCCAAGATAGACAAATGGGATCTAATTAAAATTCAGAGCTTCTGTACAGCAAAAGAAACCCTCATTAGAGTGAATCAGCAACCCACAGAATGGGAA